ATGTTTGATTCCCAAATTCCCAGGATATTTGTTTAATTCCGGAATTCTCAGGATGTTTGACTCCCAAATTCCTGGCATATTTAATTCCCGGCGTGTTTGATTCCTCAATTCCCAATTTCCTGAGATATTTAATTCCCGAATTTCCAGGATATTTATTTAATTCCTGAATTCTCAGGATATTTTGTTTAATTCCCGAATTCCCAGGATATTTAATTCCCAAATTCCCAGGATATTTATTTCATTCCCCAGTTCCCAGGACATTTATTTATTTAATTCTCAAATTCTCGGGATATTTATTTCATTCCCCAATTCCTGGGATATTTATTTGTTTCATTCCAACATTCCCAGGGCATTTAATTCCCCAATTCCCAGAATATTTGATTCCCCAATTCCTAGGATATTTAATTCCCCAATTCCTAGGATATTTAATTCTCTCATTCCCAGAATATTCCATTCCCACATTCCCAGTTTATTTCTCTATTCCATTCCCCATTCCCAGGATATTCCATTCCCCATTCCCAGTTTATTTCTCTGTTCCATTCCCCCATTCCCAGGATATTCCATCCCCCATTCCCAGTTTATTTCTCTATTCCACTCCCACATTCCCAGAATATTCCATTCCCCCATTCCCAGGACATTTCTCTATTCCATTCCCAGGACATTTCTCTGTTCCATTCCCAGTTTATTTCTCTATTCCACTCCCACATTCCCAGGATTTTCCATTCCCACATTCCCAGAATATTCCATCCCCCATTCCCAGGACATTTCTCTATTCCATTCCCACATTCTGAGGATATTCCATCCCCCATTCCCAGTTTATTTCTCTATTCCATTCCCCATTCCCAGGACATTCCATCCCCCATTCCCAGGACATTTCTCTGTTCCATTCCCCCATTCCCAGGACATTCCATCCCCCATTCCCAGGATTTTCCATTCCCCCATTCCCAGGATTTTCCATCCCCCATTCCCAGGATTTTCCATCCCCCATTCCCAGGACATTCCATCCCCCATTCCCAGGATTTTCCATCCCCCATTCCCAGGACATTTCTCTATTCCATTCCCCCATTCCCAGGATTTTCCATCCCCCATTCCCAGGATTTTCCATCCCCCATTCCCAGGACATTTCTGTGTCTTTCCCAGCTGGCTGAGCTCAAGCAGGAGTGCCTGGCCCGGGGCCTGGAAGCCAAAGGCAACAAACAGGACCTGATCCATCGACTCCAGGCCTACCTGGAGGAGCACGGTCAGAGCTCCCAAATCCCACAATTCCCATGGAATTCCCGCCTGGAATTCCCCCCCCCAGCCAAACCCTTTCCATTTCCCTGCCAATTCCCCAAGGAATTTTCTCTCTCCCTGCTTTTCTTTTCCAGCTGAGGAAGAGCCCAACGAGGAGGACGTGCTGGGAGAGGAGATTGAGGTGTGGGGGGGAATTTTGGGGGATATTCCCGATTTTCCAGGGGGGGGAGGTGGGGTTCTGGGCTGGGAATGGGGCAGAATTCCAACACTTGTGGGATTTTAAATCCTTTTCCCATCTTTTATTCGGGGTTTAAATCTGTTGGATTGGGTGCCTGGGATTTTGGGATCTGGGATTTTGGGATCCCGGATTTCAGGGTCTCGGATTTTGGGTTTGGTCCCACCCTGGGGTTGGGAAATGCTGGGGAAAAAAGGGAATTTGTGGAATTTTGGGATGGGATTCCTGCCTGGAACAGAATTCCCATGTGTTTCCCACGTTTTTCCCATGTGTTTTTTCCCTGTTTTTCTC